ATTCAAAACATGGATGTAATGTAGCTGTATATATACAAGGACAGTTATACTCAATATAGTGGTTGAAGTATAGAGAGGAGCTGGCTGCTGGATTATGAGAATGACAATAACTGAATTTGATGCCTATTTTCTATTGATAACAAAATTAATGGTTATATTGTTATTTGTAAAAAATTATAGGGAGCATTTTTCTTATGAGAATCCGTGATTCTATTTAGGGGTGTAAACGAGTCGAGCCGAGCTCGAGTCAAGGGGTGTTCGAGCTCGACTCTCAAGTCAAAAACTTAGCTAAACTCGAGTCGAGCTCGAAAGTTGAGCTCGAGCTTGACTTGTGACATTGAAACGGGCTCATCAAGCAGCTCGAATATGCCTGCCGTTTGTTTTCCCGCTTGTTGTTCATCGAACCAATGGATTTCCCGACCGATTTTCGTTTTCCCGCCGTCATTCATTTTCTAGCTTGCCTGTGTTCGATGGGGAAGAGCCGGGGATTGAAGCGGCAAAATGGACTCGAATGAAACGACATTGGGTGAGGGATCGAGGATCACATGCATGCCATCTCGCGAGTTCATGCTCAAATCCCGCCTGCGTTCACCGCACATGCTCTTGCTCTAATCGACCGGCTCGTGAGCCATCGAGCCGCACAATAACATGATCAAACTCGAGTTCGTTAACGAGTCGAGCTCGAAATTTTGCTCGAATTCGACTCGTGAGCTTGATAAGCTCGGCTTGCGAGCCCATAAATGAATCTAGCTCGAGCAGGCTCCGTTCACTTAGACTCCTAATTCTATCTTTCTATTTCTATGCAATCTATTTTAACATGTGGGTTGAGAGTTTAAGCTTCTAACCAGTGATATCCTACTTAAATTTTGTATATGTATTGTGGGTGAGTTTGTTATTTAATTTGATAATTTTTTTTTATATTATATTATCATTGTTTTTTTTTTAATTGCACCAAATCAAAAGGACAAATTAATATGTTCCAAATATTGCTATTTATGACCTCCAAACACTCTGTATATCTATTCCATATGCAAATTGTCAATTTTTTCAGTTAATTTGAAAATATTGTTGATATGAGAGAATTTCTGTAGTAACTTTTTAAATTTTCTATTTGGATAGTTTTTTTTAATTACTTTTTAAAGTTGTTTTTTTAGTAAAATTTGTTTTAATTAAAAGTTTTGTATAAAAAAGTTACTACAGAAAATAATAAAAGAAAATTTGAATTAAAAATTTTTATACAAAAAAAATTTATTTTAAAAGCAATAAAAAAAACATCCCAAACGAAGTTTAAGTCAAAAGGTGAGAATTTTTGACTGTTAATTGGATGCTGATAAGTGCATCAGGTTAAATATGATTTTTAAATTTTTATCTTATTTTAAATAAATTTATTTTAAATTTAAATAAGAGTTTTCTTATTTTGTGGAGTTGGTTTATGAAGTGGCTGAAGACGGGTTGTTCCTTATTTGAATGAGTTTATTTAGAAAAAGTTGGTGTAAAATTTAAATTAATTCTTGCAATTTTTGTTTATAAATATGTTATTTTCTATAATAGAAATCAATTCTAAAGCCTCTAAAAGATCTCTCTTTTCCTCTAACTATAATACTGTAGCAACATAACGAGCATATATGACTCAAAAAAAAAAAAAAAAAAATTCATATGATTTATATGAATCTCCATAAATTTTTTTATATTAAAATCAGGACCAATTAAACTCTCATTGCATTGATTAAACATCTCGACAAGATGAATCCAAAGATATCAAAAGCGGCTCAATCCAAATCTAAATGAGATCAAATCAAATACTTGAGCATAATTGAAAACTTCAAACATTAATCGGATGACCAAATGATTTCCAAATTTGACATATTATAATTAAAAAGTCATCAAAATTCGTCTTGATCATGCAAGAATCTCGAGGCATATTCAAGTTGGAAATTTTCAAAATTAAATTCAGGACCATATGAATTTCACTTTTAGCAAACTTATAGTCAATATGAACGTCTCAAAGAGACGAACCTAACAACACAAAAATCAGTCCAACCCGACCCAAAATAAGTCCAAATCGAGGGCCTGAATTACATTGAAAGGTTCAAAGTATTAATTGGATGACAACATGTGATCCAAATATGACATGCTTATAGTCAAATCGAGCGACTTGGTGAGACAAATACAACAAGACCAAGATTGATGAATTCTGACATCGTTAAGGCACTTAAACAAATGAAAAACTCTCTTTGATCAGGGAAATCAATATGAGCCGTCCGATAAAACACTTCAAACTTGCCCCCGGATCTTCTCTATATTTATGGGGTGTGTCACTCGTGAAAATTTTTAAATATACCCTCACTTTCTATATGAAGGGGATCTTTTGCAGAGACGAGAGAGAGCTCTGATGCTTCAACAGCTCCAGCACCATTGCTGACGAACTCACGACTGCCATCAGATCAACACTCGGCTGTCTTTCACCACCGAACTTCCACCCAGCTACCGCCAGACATCATCTCGATTATCTTCAGACCATCACATAGCCGCCAAACACCGCCGGACTTCCATCTAGCTTTTAGTCGCCGACCATCACCAAACTTCCACCTGGTCGTCGACTGTCGCCGTACTTCAGCTCAACTGTCATCGGACTTTCGCCCGGCAACCAACCGTTGTTGGACTTCAACCTGGCCATCGATGTACCACCGCTCGGCCGCCAACCGCCGACCAGCGCAGGACTTTCACCCGACCATTTTTCACCGTGAAACCTCAGTCGACAATTGAAGAACCACTGCTCGGCAACCGACCTCTTCCGGACAACTACTCGGTGGTCAACTTTCGTTGGACTTTTCTCCACTATCATCGGACTTCCGCCCGGTCGTCGACCGCCACCAGACTTTCATTCAATCGTTAACCGCCGTTGGGCCTCCTCTTATGGCCAACCATTATTGGTCCTCCATCGGGCTACCAAGTACAGTCCCTCCGACCTTCGTTGTCAGACAATGATCTTTCCAACCTCCATTACCCGTTGGCTACGGTACTTGTGACCTTTATCGCTCGTCGACTATGATCCTTCTGACCTCCATAGCTAGACAATGGTCTTTCCGACCTCCGTCGCCCGTTGATTATGGTCATTTCGACCTCCATTGCTAGATAATGGTCCCTTCGACCTTTATAGGGACAATGAACTTTCTAACCTCCGTCGCTCACTGGCTACGATCCTTTTAACATTCATCGATTGCCGACTTCGGTTCTTCTGACCTCTATCGCTAAACAACGGTCTATCCAACCTCCTTCGCCCGCCAATTATGGTCCTTTCGACCTCTATCGTCAGACAATGATCTTTTTGACCTTCATCGCTCACCGACTACGTTCCTTCTGACCTTCATCGCCATCCGACTATAGTCCTTCCGACCTTCGTCGCTCGACGGCTACGATCCTTCCAATCCTCTTTATCAGACCATGGTCCTTCCGACATTCGTTGCTCGTTGACCGCAGTCCTTCCAACCTTTATCGTCTGTCGACTATGGTCCTTCTTACCTCTATTGTTTGCTGGCTACGATCCTTCCGGCCTTCATCGCTCGTCGACTACGATCTTTCTGACTAACTATGGTCCTTCCGATCGGCTACGATCCTTTCGATCGACTACGGTCCTTCTGACCGACTACGATCCTTCCGACCGACTACTATCCTTCCGACCTCCGTTGTCATACAACAATTTTTCCGACCTCCATCACCCGCTGGCTACAGTTCTTCCGACCTTCATCACTTGCCGACTATGGTCCTTCCGACCCCCGTCGCTAGACAATGATCTTCCCAACTTTCGCCGCCCGTCGATTACGATCCTTCCGATCTTCATCGCCCGCCGACTATGGTCCTTAAGACTCCCTTTGCTAGACAATGATCTTCTCGACCTCTGTTGCTCATCGAATACGGTCCTTCCAACCTTTGTTCCCCTCCAACTATGGTCCCGCCGACTAAACGAACATGACTGCAAACACTAGTGGATTCATTCAAACTGGGCCCGTCATCATGGCTTTTCCCCATTTTTAGGGGTTTCCACTTAAAAACTCTAGTATCTCTTATGAATACTGCACCATCACTCTCTTGTCTGATTGCGTGATGGATCTTCGTATAAAGTTAATACATTAAAATACATATTTCTCTATCGCTGCAAATATTCCAGGACACAACAGTTAGGAGCCGTTTGTGGGGATATGGTTCCCGACTTTTTTGGGGGCTTTTTTTGGGGGGGGGGGGGAATTTGCTCCAACCACAAAAAGTTGTTAGTGTCAACGTCCTGACATCAACTATTGCTACATCTATTTCATGAGAACTAAATGTGGACTGGGGGCAACCTTGTCTACAGCCGTGGTCAAGAAAATTCCTCGAACTCTTCCAATATCCAAGATGATATTTTGGGATCATAAAGCTTCTAACAAATGCAATGATGCTCTCAATAAAGTTCAAGCCTTATATAATCCATAGCTGGATTTCTACTCATTGAGCAAGATCTTAATCTCGACCTAAAAAAAGGTAGTAACGGTCCAAATATAGATCATTCTTTAACTTTGATTCGGGATACACATGGCTTGACGTGGTGACACGAGACGACGACGCAACTTGAATCACCTGACATGACGCGAGTTTCCGGGTCAGCCTCGATCATTGTCGGGTTTCCAGATCAACCTGAACCTGGCCCATTTTTTAAACGGGTAGACCCTAACCCATAATTTTTGGATCGGGTTCAGGTCGAATTTTTAGGTTGTGTCAAATATTAACACCCTTAATGAGACATAAAATTAAATTTCATAAAATTTAAACTAATAAACTTCTATAAAAAATAATTAGTGGTAAAAAACTTGGATAGCACAAGAAGAATTAATGTGTTTAATATTTTATTTGAGATAATTTTTTTATTACTTATTAAAACAGCTTTCTAATATTTTTTTAATAAAAACTTACTTTAAGAAACTAATGCTTGACTTGAATACCAAATTTCATAAGATTTCCAAAGTTATCATTACCTTGCTTGTTGCCCTCAGTCGGTAGCCACTCGTTTCAAGGACACGCAGCGAGCTAAGTGACCAGTTACCCATCCACCAACTGCTCAACGGATCTGCTCAAAGGAACCATTCTTCCCTATCTCTCAACCTCGGTGGAAGCCATGGCCACCTACGACAGGAGAAGCGAGATAAAGGCCTTCGACGACACAAAAGCCGGCGTTAAAGGCCTCGTAGACGCCGGCGTTACCGAAATCCCTCGGTTCTTCCACCACCCGGCCGACGCTAAGGATGGGCCAGATCCGACCTCTGTTCCCCGGTCCGAGATTCCGGTCATCGATCTCGGAGACACGGCGGGGCGGGAGAGCGTGGTGGAGCTCGTGAGACGGGCATCAGAGACGTTTGGTTTCTTCCAGGTGTTGAATCATGGGGTTCCTCAGGCTGTGATGGACGAGATGCTGGAAGGCGTGAGGAGGTTTAACGAGCAGGATTTGAAGGTAAAGATGCGATACTACACACGCGATCGGAGTAAGACTGTGATTTTTAATTCTAATTTCGATTTGTACGAATCTCCGGTGGCGAATTGGAGGGATACCCTTTACTGCGGAATGGCGCCGGAGCCCGCCGCTAAGCCGGAGGACCTGCCGGAAGCTTGCAGGTACTTTTTTAAAATTTGAAAATTGGACTTATTTTAATTTTTAGGTGAGAATGATTCTCAAAATCTTATTTTAGAATGAAACTAATTTTAATTTTGATTGATTTTTCTATGTAGTATACTCTTCTCAAAATAAATCTAACATCCATTGATCTCTAAGCTTACGAAGGAGGCTTCTTACTACTTTCTTATCATCATAGAACGGCGGTGATCATCCTTCCTTATGAATAATTAGTCATCATATATATCTCCAATAATCGGTCATGATCTAAGATTAAGAGCTTCTCCAGCCGAATTGCATTTGGGTGTGAGTGGCTTTTTGCTCCAATGGATCACCAAAAAAATACGCCAATGGCGTTAGACTGTTCACCTACGACAAAAAGTTGTTATATTTTTTAGCTTTGCAGGAAAGGCGCGAAACAAGAGAGATGTTTTTAACACGGGAAAGAAGAGAAATAGAGTTCCATTAGAGATGAATTGCGGCATTTTGAAGTTTTCCGTCATTTTAGAGTGAAAATTGGAGTTTTTGGTTGGAGATGCCCTAATAGAGTATTTCTTCAATGCGCACACAATTGCACTGATGGATCTACCACACGTCTCTCATAGGGCAAATTATTATGTGCGGACACCGAATAGAGAGAATCATCCGGATTTCTTTCTGTTAACAGTAAAAGTGCAGTCAAAGCGCAACTACTGTAACAGCTGCGCTTTGAATGCTCTTTTAATATAGATAGAGAGAAAATCGGATCGTTCTCTCCGTCCGGTATCCGCACATAATAATTTCTCGAAGGGCATCCATAGTTAAATAAAAATTTGATTGCTGCAATTCTCCTAGCTTATGGATGAATAAATATCATTCTTTTGTTAGAGAACAAAAGTGTTCATACTGTTAAGACACCCTTTTGGATTCCTCTCAACAACATTAAATGGGGGATTATAACACAAATCAACATTTTGATTTAATAAGTGCCACAAAGGATTAATAAGATGACCAGAGATCCACCAAAATTTCATTAGATTTACAAATATGCAGCTTATACTTCTTGGATTATACAATCTTCTTCATGAATTGGTGTTTATATTGCATGCAGAGATATAATTATGGAGTACACAAGCCACATCCAAAGGTTAGGGCGTCTCCTATTTGAACTACTATCAGAGGGACTTGGCCTAGATGCTCGTTATTTAAATGATCTGGAATGTGGCAAAGGCTTGGCTCATTTGAGCCATTATTATCCACCATGCCCTGAGCCAGAACTCGCCATTGGCACAAGCAAACATGCAGATTCAGCCTTTCTAAATGTTCTTCTTCAAGATACCATTGGAGGCTTACAAGTTCTTCACCAGAATCAGTGGATTGATGTTCCTCCAATTCCTGGAGCTTTTATAATCAACATTGGTGATCTTTTACAGGCAAGTTTTCTACTTTTATTAGTAGACTAAGGCCTTTTCCAACCAAACTCCTAACGCTCGCGAGCTCTAGCCGAACAATAAAACTTCTGGTATTTGGTTGCGGATGAACAGTGCGACGTCAATATTGGCGTTTCATTGTTTACCTATTGATGTCGCACTGCTCACCCGCGTTATTTTTCTATCTCTACCGGATTTGTCAAGGAAACGCGCGAAGGAGAAAGACGGTTACCAGGTCACAAAATGGAGTTCGATTGGAGATGAATCACGCCATTTTTTTGTTACATTGCATTTTGGAGTGAAAAATGAGATTTTCGGTTGGAGATGCCCTAAGCTCCCAACCAACAGATCAAAATGAGTAATATTTGGCTAAATTTATTTCTGTTGATGTAGCTTATCAGTAATGATAAATTTAAGAGTGTCGAGCATAGAGTACTGGCAAGTAAGAATGGGCCAAGAGTTTCCGTTGCCTGTTTCTTCTTCACCCGCTTGCATCCATTGGAGAGGCGCTATGGTCCGATAGAGAAGCTGTTATCAGAGAAAAATCCTCCTAAATACAAAGATGTTACTGTAAGAGAATTTGTCACTTTTTATTACTCGAAAGGACTTGATGGTAAATCTGCATTGGAAAATTTTAGGCTATGATCGATTATTTATTAGATTTGTGACTTATGTTATTTATATGATCATGTGGAGATTATAATAAAGTTATGGATGTGAAGTATGAGCATTATAAATTGTAAGGTTTTTTTAACTCATGATATATTTATTTTTTTATGTTGATAAAATTTAACAATTTTTTAAATCGTCAATATCATTTATAAGCTCGAATAAAATAGTTACGAATATTTTTGAAATAATTAATTTGTGCACTTGATTAAAAAAAAAAGTTTTAGCTTGGCCACTTCTACTTATACTTTTATCGTATGTGAATGGAGGCTAGAGTCCTCAACTTTAGGAGAAATTATTTAATGCAGAGTTCGGACGTAGAGCTATGTTCGGACTCCAAGCCAAAGGCGACACGTATTTTTTCGTTTAATATATTAGTTGTTGATACGACATCACAAGATTAGCTTGATCGGGCACGAATCTCGAGGCAAAAGCTAGTTGGAAACTTCAAAAATTAATTCCGAGAGCACCCGAACTCCGATTTCAGCAAGCTTATAGTCGAACTGAGCGTCTCGGAAATACGAACTCAACGAC